TGAGTTTACCAGACGGATAGCATAGGGAACAAATCTGGTAGTCCTGCTAGAAATGTTTTTCTTATATTTCTTAGGCAACCTTCATCCTGAAAACACAGAGGCAGCAATGTATGAAATACGTTTTTATAGGATAATTGCATCAATACATCCTTCCGATAAGGTAGGATACCTTGGGGCTGTGGATACTGCCAGAAGACTACAATTCCCACTGCCCCAAGGTATTTCCCATCCTCTCTGCACTTATGGGAATGGCAGGGTCTTGTAAGGGTGCCGTGTCCTTGCTTTCCAGACCACGGAAGGTGTCCCGCCCCCTCCCACTGGATTTGACTGCAGTGCCAAATCCAGTGCATTGGAAATGGGCTGAGATCCAAAGCGCTCTAAGCAAAAATCTTCTGCTGAACCAGTTATAGGCAAAAGTCCAAGGAGGGATCCAGATCCAGACCAGGAAAGAAGCAGGCTGCCATGGCAGAGGCTGGATCTGCAGCAAGAAGCTTCATCCTAAACACTTCACTAAATTTGGTGTTAATATTTCTGAGTTAATATTATCACTACCATTTTTTTTCCCAGATATCCAACGAGAGTTTGCAAGTTTACCTGGTTAAGGGATAGGAGGGTTACTGTTTTGGCCCAACCTTTTCTTTTTCTTTTTTCCTTTTTGGCTGGGGAATTCTGGGAGTTGAAGTCATGTTGCTAAGGTGGAGTGATCCAAGGGACTTTACTCCCGAGGACGTATATTTGGAATTGCAAGAAAAGAGTAAATCACCAACCACAAGCTTAAGAGTTGGAGATTTCACCCAGCTGATCCCCGAGGGCCAACATCAGTGGAGTCTTTTGGGTCTTGACCATGAATTTCCCATGAGCTTCTAGTGAGAAACCAACCTAGACTTCAGTTTCTTCTACTTTGACCCAACTGAATGTCCCTTGTTTCTATGAAGGCCTGGTTAACACACTGTTTGCCGTTTTTAATCGCAATGGTGCATCTTTCATTGCATTTTCATATGTTGAGTTGTTTTGCACCTGGTCAGAGACATTCTCAAAATCCAGGCTCAACTTTACTCGGGAAACAAAGTGGTAGTAAAAGATCTTCCTTACTCAACACGGCCCTCTACTGCAGGGACTATAATTCCAAGAACTTTTCAGTCGCTACTGAAGAACTTGGGAAAGTGTACACTAAGGAACATCGGGGGGAATAATCAGGAGCCTCATCTGGTAGTTTTGGGAAGGCTTCAAACAAAGATAGAACTAAACCTGGGATTGTCTCCTGAAAAGCAAATTCTTTACTCCTCTTCTTTCATCCCAACATAGAGGGACTTCTTATGTTCTCCTGGCCTCTGTTCCATTTGTGGAGTCTAGGATAGATAATCAGCAGAACTCTGACAGGGGAGCTGATGCTTTTCCAATGAAGTTCTCTCGCAGGCTTCGCTCATCTAAGACCTGCTGTGCCATCCTTCCCCCCTCCCTCCACTGGCATTGCAAAATCTGCATCGCATCACTTTTAGAACTCAGCCCTTTACATGCTCGTGAGTCCCTGGGAAATTTTGCCAGCCCGGGGCAGGTGCCCCCTAAAGAGAGTCCCTTTGATCCTGAATCGATCCAGACTGGTGCTTCTTCCCCATTGCCTTGTCTTTAAACAGCTGCAAAGAGGGAGGGGCCCCCAGAGGAAGCACCACCCCCTTCTTGGAAGACCAACTGGGTCCTATACAGACACCTTTTGCAGCTCCCGAGCTGTTTCCCAGCCCTGTTTCGCTTTGATTCCTTAACGCCTGTCCTGCCCCTCACAACTCCTGCCTCTTCTCCACACAACTGCGGTGTTTTGGAGCAACAGTATTTTAACTCTGGGGGGGTGGGGGTGCGGTTTGTTAACTGCCATGAGGAATGCAAACCCGTTTTTTGTCTTGGCTGTGCTTTCCTTTTCTATTAACGGTGAGTAACCTTTCTCCTTCTGTACTGTAAAAATTTAAAAAAAAAGCTTTGCAGACTTTTTACAAGCATTGCATATTTTCCTCCTCCTCCTTGAAATAAGTCTCTCGTTTGCTAGGAAAATTGTTCCTTGAAAAAGTGTCCGTGTGTGTGTGTGTGTGGAGGGGGTGTCAAGGTGTAAAAGTTAGTCTATGTCGTTGTGACACATTTTGTGGTTTCAGCAAGATGGGTCTGCTGTCACATTTTAACCAAATTGGTTTTGGTGAAGATGTTTCCTTTGAGCGTGGATAGCAATGGAAATAATCAGAACAGAATACTTATGTTGCAGGAGACCTGTTCGGTTTTCGTCCATTTTGAGGTTTACTGTGGCCAAATTCTGACTGCCCTTTCTTTGGACTTTCCATTGATGCTTTTAAAAAGTGGTTTAAAGAGGCATACGTGCACCCGAAGCGTGACCAAGGCATAAACAGTCTTCCTTCGCTACGTCTCCTGCTGATACCATCATAAAGACTGATTAGCAGGGCACTAAGTGGCAGTACATCCGACAAATAAAGACTGATTAATCGGGTAATGTGATTCCATAACCATTATCTGAAATAATTCCAAACAGGCTGAAATGGGAGGGTGCTCTGTTAAGTCCACTGTCTATTTCTCTGCTTTTTCACAAAGACTCTTTCTACTATAGTTAATCCATTTTCCAAGCTACGCCTGATTTATTACAACCTGGTCGTTTTTTGGACGTTCACAAGAAGCATTTCAAGAGGAACGGGTGGAAAGAAGAAGGTCAGAGGCCAGATTAAAAAATGGGACATCCACTTTTGGATTTACAATCCTCCCCCCTCTCTCTCTGGTTGTTAAGGCGAGATTCATGGGCTCTTTTTTCCATTAGAAGTTACTTGTCTCAAATGCTGCATTTGTGCTGTACGTCTAGAGAGCCCTAGAGTGTAGAATTTGTTTTGGTGTCAGGAGCAAGTCGCATATTCCAGAGGATTTTGAGAAGAACTATAGCGTTCAATAACAGAGGAGAAAGGGATGCCTACATTTTCAACCTCCTTCCTTTTACTTACTGGGGTTAGAAAAACTGAAATTCTACACAGACTTCTGGGAGGGGGTGGGAGTAGAAAAGACAATCATTACTGTGTCGGTCGGTTCTTCAAGGCAAAATTCCAAAATCTGTAAGTAGGCAATGTTTTTATTAGGAGTAGCTAAAAGCTCAAAAGGGTGTCTTTCAGACAAAAGTTACCTAGACAAAAAAAAAAAAAAAAGACAAAAGTTACCTAGAAGAGGAAAGAAAGTCGGGGACTGGAAAGAATGCAAAAGATCCAAAATGAAATCGAACGTTTCAGTTCCCCAGTTGTGCAACTGAAAGGAAGAGGCGAGACAGAATTGGGGACAGAATGTAGAATTGGTACAAAATATTTGTTACAGCCCGGGGATCTAAGTAGAGATGTCACGTCAAGATGAACCAGACCTTCTTGCACTGGGCGGCTTCCAGATATATTTGGACTATAGTTCCCATCCATTTCCAGCTGACAGGGCATTTGCTGCCTGGGGAGGATGGGTTTTGTGTTCCAAGGCCATCCCGAAGTGATGCAATCCACCTGATTATCTGCAGAAACCTGGCATTAACCAGTCCTGGAGGACAGAGAAGAATGGGCTCCTTTTAGCGGAGCGATATTGCAAGGCTCTGCAAGTTTGTTGGCCAGCTTCGCTGCAAAGAAATCAATCCTTATTTCCAAAGTGGTGCTCGCTTTAAAGTGCTTTCTCTGACATGTGACTTTTTTTCCCTTGAATTATTAGATAAGAACGTTGGCTGTGGGACTGCTGCAGGAAATAAACCAGCTGTTGGAGTCACAGCGCATAAGTTGCCCAGATCGTTTGGCGGGTGGTTTATTAAATCACTCATACTTGGATTCCTCTCCTTCTGTCCCCCCCCCCATTTGTTTGTTTGTTTGTTTGTTTTTAAAACTAGCCACTTGGGCTCTCCAGAGGTTTCACAGACAGCCTGTATTCTTGATCCAATGTAAAATAATTTAATAGGCAAGGTGAAAAACTGTACTGGTCACATCTATTCATGGAGACAAGAGGGGGGGGAAGCAGTTTTTAGGAATAACATGTAAAAAGGATGAGTTATCAATCTGACTGTTTAACGCATCAAGTGCTCAGTGTTTAATTTGGTCAGGATAAACGATTCTTAAAATAATGGGAAACGATGAGTTTTTGAAAACACAGAAAGAGCGGTTTTCTGCACACAAACACATAGGCCTCACAAATGTCTTTGTGCAGGCCATCTGCTGACATCTAGTGGATCGCAGCCACAAAATAAGGGGAAAGTTGCCCCAGACACTAGAATAGGATGGGTCATTGCCCATTTAAAATTTGAGCTTATTAATTTGGAGCACTCTTAAGTGGACAGAGCGGAGGAGAGGAGAGGAGGGTAACGGAAGTGTTCAAAGAGATTTTCAAATCTGCTTTTGAATTGACCTTTCCTAAGCCCACCAGGTCTTTTTAGGTGTATTTTTAACACAAGCCATTGTTTGCCCTCAGTCTGTTAACCCCAATGAGTAGAGCTCATATGATGGATGGAACTATTAGCCATGGATATAAGCCAGAATGACTGGGGACACCCAAAAGATCAATGCCAAACCAGAAAAAAAGACACACGTCAAGAAGAGATTGGACAGCCATCCAGAATGTTATGGGGTCTCCTGCTTGAGCATGGGGTTGGACTAGAAGACCTCCCAGGTCCCTTCTAACTCTTGTTATTCTATATTCTGCAACTGAGTTGCATAGTTCTAGATCTAATCCAGAAAGAAAAGAATAGCCTACACATGTTCTGGCACACAGTTCCAGTTATAAGGGGAAGCATAAAAGAAAAGTTATGAGTTGTTTTAGGAAATTGTCACCTTCTCAGCTGGTTATTATCATCTTTGGCCAATGAAGAGTTGGCCAACTTTCTGAAGGACTCTCGTGGGTTGAAGGTTATCATCTTTTCCCAGGTTGTGATGGGCTTATCAAGGACAGGATTCTGCCTCCTTTCTGTGACCCGGTTCTTTCTTTCCTACTTTACAGGAAGTGAGACGGCCGATGCTGAAGAGAAGTTAATGAACCATCTCCTCAACGTTTCACGCTACAACAACTTAATTCGCCCAGCTTTCAATTCTTCACAGTTAGTTGTGATAAAATTGGAGGTTATTCTGGCCCAGCTTATCAATGTGGTGGGTGCTTTCAAACTCTAAGTCATAGTAGCAAGACTTTATTACAGTCATAGAGCAGCATGTTTTGTGTGTGTGTGTGTGTGTGTGTATGCACATACACAATTTTTCCATCATAAATACAACCAGAACAAAAGGCTCAATTTCAAGGAACGGAAGGAATGCAAATGAAAGGATGGACGCATCAATAAAAAGAGCACTTGAGCCATCACTTTTCACCGTTGGCCAGTTTATTTGCTGTACTGCTTTTAAATTTCAGGGAATATTCATTGCAACTTATAGTTCTGCGTATTTAAATATATCTGTAAAAGAGCTCCAGAGTTTTAGTGTGGTCGTATGTGTATACATGCCTGATGGGGTAAAATGAGATACTGCACGTCTATAATCCCAAACTGTGAGTCTAGCAGAGTGTTTCTAACCTTAGCAACTTTAAAATATCTGGACATCAACTCCTAGTATTCTGAGAATTGACATCCACACATCTTCAAGTTGCCAAGGTTGAGAAACCTTGGTCTACAATTACTCTATCTTCCAGCAATGGATATATTTTTTAAACCTATGTTCCATTTCCTGCTCTGCTCTACCAAATCCCCTAGAATTAAGCTCTGTCTGATAGTGTGTGACTTCTGTCTCTTTTCTCCTTCAGAATGAACGGGAACAGATCATGACCACCAATGTTTGGCTCAACCAGGTAAATTTCTATGGGAATCTCTAATATTGTTTAGAACTCTGAAGTATATACATTCTATAGTAGTAGTAGTAGTAGTAGTAGTAGTAGTAGTAGTAGTAGTAATAATAATAATAATAATAATAATAATAATAATAATAATAATAATAATAATAATAATAATAATAATAAAGTCTGGATAGTGCACGTGACAGTGCCTGGAGACAGCAGAATACACGAGAAAGAACTGGAGAAGATAACAAAATACAAAGACCTACAAATAGAAATAGAAAGACTATGGCAAAAACAAGCAAGGTAGTATCAATAGTAATAGGCGCCTTGGGTGCAATCCCAAAACAACTGGAGCACCACTGGAACATCATCGGCATTGACAAATTTGCCATCAGTCAATTGCAAAAGGCAGCCTTACTAGGGACTGCTTCCATCCTGCGACGATATCTGCAATAACATCAAACATCCACATCTGCCTATCCCAGGCCCTTGGGAAGGACTCGATAGGTAGACAAAAATGCCAAATCCAGTCTGAACATCTGGCTGACTATGCGATGATCAATAATAATAATAATAATAATAATAATAATAATAATAATAATAATAATAATAATAATAATAATAATAATAATAATAAAGTTGGAAGGGACCTTGGAGGTCATCTAGTCCAACCCCCTGCTCATCCAGGAAACCCCATATCATTTCAGACAAATGGCTGTTCTCAGTTGCTATTCATCCCTTTGCGAGTGATCTTTTACAGAGCTTACATCTGAACCCCTAGATCTGAAATTTCACTCCCAGGAGTTTCAATGAATCCCACGGACCTTCCAAACTGGAAATGGTGGTGGAGATTTGTTTCCCTCTCTGGCAGCGGACAATTCCAGATGAGGATACTTCATGAGAGCTGGGAAGTTCTGCTACCCTCTATATAATTCATGTTTTAATCAAGAGTCAGCTTTTTGCCAAATGTAACTTTATGTTTTGTACTGTAGGTATGATTAAAACAAACCAGCATTACCATCAGCAGAAAAACTCAGCCCAGAATTGTTAGCAATTTGTACCTCCACCAGCCAAAGCTGCGATAGTCTAGAACAGGGCTTTTCAACTTTTTCACCCATTGTGCCACTTTTAGGATATAGCAACACCCGAGTACCACCAGTCACCTAGCAAGGTGTCAAAAACTTGATGACCAAAAAAAAAAAAAAAGGAAAAAAGTGAAGTACAGATAGTCCTTGACTTACAACAGTTTGCTTAGTGACTGTTCGAAGTTACAATGGCACTGAAAAAGTGCCCCCCAAGCCACAGCCGAGCAAGACACCTGCCTGCCCACCTGGTGGCGCTCTTCCTCCTGTCCAAGGTGTTCATTGTTGTGAGCATTTCTGTTGAGGATTGGCAGCGGGGGTGGGGTGGGGTTTTTTTGGTTTTATTCCCCCCCCCCCGTCTGCTGGGTGCTTGCAGCAGGTTTTGGTCACTTCACATGACCCTGGGACACTGTGACCGTCATAAATAGGAATCAGTTGCCAAGCATCTGAATGTAAATCACAAGACCCTGGAGAGGCTGCAACATTCCAGCTGATCGGCGCTTCTTCTGGGCTCAGCAGAAGCGCCAGGATCAGCGCCGGGCTCCAGCTGGAGCCTGGTGCTGATCCTGGCGTTTCCGCTGAGCCCTGACAGCCCCGAAGAAGCGCCGATCAGCTGGAAAGCGGCACTGATCCTGGCGCTTCCGCTGAGCCCTGACAGCCCTGCAGCTCCAGCCGTCTCTCGCTCAGGCTTGTGCGGTGCTGCCACCGGTTCAGGTCATTCCCCTCCCCCGCTACCACTTTTCTAGGATGGTCGCGTACCACCTGCCAGGTGCCAATGTACCACAGGTGGTACCCGTACCCACTGGTTGAAAAGCCCTGGTCTAGAAATAAGGCAACTGATAGCACCTTTTAAACCTGACAATTTAATGGAAGGCTTCGGTTTTCATGAATTGCCGTGACTCAGCTCATGCATGAAACGCCTCAAGTGATATGGAATTTAACTACAAGAGGGTGAGGCATTTAACCCTGTCCTTAAATCCCACATCAGTCATGCTGCGTGCATTTGAGGAAGGGGGCTGCAGTTTCTGAAAGCTGATGTCTTCCTTGAACTTGTCAGGTGCATCCAGACCCTTTCTGAATTTTGTGCAAAGCAGGGACAGTCACTGAAATGTTGGTATGTGCTTCTTTTAAGGAATGGACCGATTACCGCTTAGCTTGGAAACCGTCAGAATATGAAGGCATCCAGAAACTCAGGATACCGGCTAAGAAAGTGTGGCTCCCGGACATTGTGCTGTACAATAAGTAAGTGTGTGTCTCTTCATAAGATAAGATTATGCATGGAGTGCCTCTCCCACTTTATGGCCAATGTTAGTTTGAGATTTATTTATTTTTTTAAAAAAATACTGTTTGCAATCAACGTTCAAGACAATCATTCTTAGGACAAACTAGGCATTTTTTGCTTCCTAATGGAACAAGTTTTGCTTCCTAATGGAACGCTTTGTTGATTGCAGAATTGTGAGTCTGGGAGAAAGTGTTCAGTCCTAAATTGTTTTAATTGCTTAATTATAAATGGATGTCAGGAGAGCATTAATACATTAAAAGGCTCACACCAGCTATAAACTCGTGTTAAAATCCATGATATAGTCTGGGGGTCTCCAAACTTGGCAACTTTAAGACTTGTGGGCTTCAACTCCCAGAATTCTCTAGCCTGGTTGGGGCTGGCTGGCTGGGGAATTCTGGGAGTTGAAGTCCACAAGTCTTAAAGTGGCCATGTTTGGAGAGCCCTGGTATATTCCATGCTATCGAGTCAATGTGGATTGTGGCAGCCCATAGTTTTGTTAAAGAAATAACTAAAAATGGTATTTTCTTTTTTTATGCTTTTGCTTTTGGGCTTCATTAGTGCGGATGGTACCTACGAAGTCTCCGTCTACACAAATGTGATTGTCCAGCACAACGGAAGCACTTTATGGATGCCGCCAGCCATTTACAAAAGTGCCTGCAAGATTGAAGTGAAGCATTTTCCCTTCGACCAACAAAACTGCACCCTCAAATTCCGCTCGTGGACTTACGACCACTCTGAAATTGATATGATTTTGAAAACTGGCTCGGCCAGTATGGATGACTTCACCCCCAGTGGGGAGTGGGACATTGTGGCCCTCCCGGGACGAAGAACGGAAAACCCTTTAGATCCAAACTACGTGGATGTGACCTATGACTTCATCATCAAAAGAAAGCCTCTTTTTTATACCATCAACCTCATCATACCTTGTGTGTTGATCACATCCTTGGCCATCTTGGTGTTCTATCTGCCATCTGATTGTGGAGAGAAGATAACCCTGTGCATCTCTGTCCTGCTCGCTTTGACCGTTTTCCTGCTCCTGATTTCCAAAATCGTCCCTCCAACTTCCCTTGACGTTCCACTGATTGGGAAGTATCTGATGTTCACCATGGTGTTGGTGACGTTCTCGATTGTGACCAGCGTCTGCGTGCTGAATGTCCACCACAGGTCTCCCAGCACCCATGCGATGCCTCCGTGGGTCAAGGTGGTCTTCCTTCAGAGACTGCCAAGCTTCCTCTTCATGAGGAGACCACACAACCAGTCAGCAAGTCAACGGTTGAGCAACCGCAAGAAGAACAAAGCGGAGTCTTTTCCTTCCGATTTCTCCAGCACATACAAAGATTGCACTTACTTTGTGAACACAGCAGCAGGCCAAAGATACAACGTGAAGCTGACGGACAACCCTGATCACATCAGCAGCCATCAAGACCTGAGGTTACGATCATCGGTGAAGTTTTCTCCTGAAGTCCAAGAAGCAATTGAGGGAGTCAGCTTCATAGCAGACCACATGAGGAGCGAGGATAACAATGAGAGTGTAAGTGACACACACACCACTCTGTCGCCTCCTCCTCCTCCTCTTCCCCCTCCTAAAATCCTAGAATTTCCTTTCTCTCTGGAGCTTGAGATACTTGTTCTCTCGTGCAGAAGGAAGATAAAGACACGATCACTCGTTTTGAGGGATGAGTATTGGGTTGCTTGTTGGACAGATCGGCTACCATGGAGATGGTTGCAAGGGGCATTTCTGACAACCAGTTGTAGTAAATCAACTCTTAGCAGAAGGGAGCTCTTCTGAATTCTTGTCAAACATGCCCTCTTGGGAGGCAGAGGAGGCTTACTCTTGGAACATAGAATAATAAGATTGGAAGGGACCTTGGAGATCTTCTAGAGTCTAGACTAACCCCCTGTTCAAACAGGAGTCCCTATACCATTCTGGACAAATCGTTGTCCAGTCTCTTCTTTAAAAACTCCAGTGATGGAGTATCCACAACTTCTGAAGGGAAGCCGTTCCACTGATTAATTGTTTTCACTGTCAGGAGATTTCTCCTTAGTTCTTACCTTACTCCTAACTAAGACCTACTGGAAAAAAAAACCCAGACAACCCAGTTTCTTCCATATGAGAATAAAAGGGTTGAAAACTTCACCCTCCCTCTCTCTAGTAGGAACAGCTGCATTATTAACTTGTCACTCTTGTTATTAAAAGAGGTAGCTTCTCACTGTAAAATACTGACAAACGTTGTATGAAGAAAAATGCCAAGAATCCATTTTTTTAACTGAAATACACAATTAGCAAGCTCAGTCCTGATTAGTTTTTTGAAGGATTGGGGAAATTAAGGTTTCTCTTCTCTTCTCTTCTCTTCTCTTCTCTTCTCTTCTCTTCTCTTCTCTTCTCTTCTCTTCTCTTCTCTTCTCTCCTCTCCTCTCCTCTCCTCTCCTCTTCTCTCTCTTTCCTTCTTCTCTGTGCGAATTTGAAGCATTTGTTTCTATCCATTTTTTTTTAGTCTTCATCTTCCCAATTCATTATTACAGGGGCTGATTCTTGAAGGAAGCCATGGAAGACTATTGAAAAAACTGAGCTGGGATGAAAGCAAGAGATAATGTCATAATGGACAGTTTATTAAAGATATTTAATTGGTTTGTTTTTCCAGGTCATCGAAGACTGGAAATATGTGGCCATGGTGGTGGACAGGCTGTTCCTCTGGATATTTGTCTTTGTGTGTGTGCTTGGAACCACTGGATTATTCCTGCAGCCCCTTTTTCAAAACCACCTGCCTGCCATGAGCCCATAAGCTGAGCTAAATCTAACTCCAAAGACTGCGTGTTCACAGGATGGGAAGTTCCGAGTTCCACAGTTTCAATTTCAAGAAGATTTATACAGACCTTGGTTTGTTTTTTTTTACTGCCCCTTCCCAGTTAAACATGAATAATCCATGTAACACAGTTACTGAGAAGACCATCTACACAGAGCAGGTTGAAAGAGGTAGGCAACCTGTAACATGTAATCACATGGCATTACATGTCCAAGGATTGTGTATTAAAAGAGTATTTTACTTAAGTATTTTGTGTGGGAAAGATTTTGTTATGTCACTTCGCTTTCTGTTGCTCCTTTTTTTTCTTTCCATTTTAAAAATTGGTACATGCATCATGCTACAGATATATACGTACTTCCTCCCTCCCCAATGCTTACGTAGTACCCTATATTCAAGATTGGGCAAAATGGAATCCTAACCTGCTCTGATTAATGAGTCTGTAGGCTATTAAGTGTAAAAGCGATTGAGGGGTGCTTCAGAATAAGGAAGGTCTGGAAATCAGCACTATCTTGGCAGCATTTTTAATATTTATTTTGTTGGCCGATATATCATTGGCCCAAAGAAACACTTTGAAGTCCTTGAGTTAAGACCACTTGTTTAGTGACTGTTCCAAGTTAGGGCAGCACTGAAAAAAGAGACATGACTGATCCTCGTACTTACAACCATCACAGTGTCCCCGAGTTCATGTGATCAAAATATGGGTGCTTGGCAAACAACATGTATTTATGATGGTGGCTGTGTCCCAGGGTCATGTGATCACCATTGCAACCTTCCCAGCTAGCTTCTGACTATCAAAGCTTAGCTTAGTGATCCCAACTATAGTCGTACGTTGAGGACAATCTATAAATCAGGGCCCAATGCAGGACCTCCACATTCAGGCTTGGCTTGTATATTGTACTAAACCACGGGCGTTTTTTACTCGTGGTTTAACAAAACTGTATCACATTCATCATCCAAACATCATGGCTTATAAATCACAATAGGTAAGTTCTAAGGCCGTGGTGGCGAACCTATGGCACGCGTGCCAGAGGTGGCACGCAGAGCCCTCTCTGTGGGCGCGTGCGCCGTTGCCCCAGTCCTAGGCCTTCAGCTGGGTTTTATAAAACCTTTTCGCTTTAGGCCTCCACTGCCGTGTGCAAAAAACCCAAATGGTTCAATCAATCAACAATAACAATAACAATAATAAAGTTGGAAGGGACCCTGGAGGTCATCTAGTCCAACCCCCTGCTCAGGCAGGAAACCCTATACCATTTCAGACAAATGGCAATCAATCAATTTCAACTCACAGGAAAAAAAAAAGATCTTGCAAAATTGGAATTTATTTATTTTTATTTATTTATTTATTTATTAAATTTATATACCGCCCTATCTCCCTTGCGGGACTCAGGGCGGTGAACAGGCGGTACTAAAAACCATGGTAATAAATAGTTTGTTTTAAAATCGAATTAAATAACGGGCCTGTTCTAAAAACACACCCGTAAAAAAAACCCCACTGAAACATAATCAAGCTACGCCAGGGCAGCCGCACGGAATAGATGGGCCTTCAGGGCTCGGCGAAAAAGGCGCAGGTCCGCAACTGTACGTAGGTCGGGGGGTAGGTCATTCCAGAGGGCAGGAGCTGCTATAGAGAAGGCTCTCCCCCTGGGGGTCGGCATTGTCTGGCCGACGGCACTCTAAGGAGGCCCTCTCTGTGGGAGCGGACTGGTCGAAGGGAGGTGTTTGGTAGGAGGCGGTCTTGCAAATACCTAGGTCCATTGCCATGGAGCGCTTTAAAGGTTGTTACTAACACCTTGAAGCGCACCCGGAAGGCCACCGGCAGCCAGTGCAGCTCGCGCAGGAGAGGTGTTA